GTGTTCAACAAGCAGAACGCGAAATGTCTTCAATTACAGGTTGGCAGCCCGACTCCTCCAGCGTCTCCGAGGCGCCGACGTCAGGACGCAGGATAGGCGGCAGCCTGCTGGATCGCTTGGACGAGAGGTGAGCACCCTGCGCTGCAGTGCGTGTCGGCAGCCTGCCCACGCTGCCCCGGCCACCAGCAGCACTGTGTTCTCTGCTCTGTGAGAACACGTCTATTTGCTTATATATACATTTAACAGAAAATCTTGATTTGGTCTCAGATATATTTGTCTTTTAAAATTGTATTTATCAGGTTTCATTCTCGATATAGGCATTTGAGAAGTATTTCATAATATCTTTAGCAGGTAATGTTTCTTTTCACGTTCTTTATCTTGTGTATTTCTACTTCTAATTCATCTCTGTGGTGCGTAGATGCAGCTGGAATCAAGAACATTATCTGAAACCATGATACTACATTACTCTTTTTTTTGACCACCTTTATAGCAGTCATCCTTTCCATTTGCATCTCATTGCCATCCCTCAGATAATTTTTACTTTTCCCATGAGCCAATTTTGGAATTGTCACTTTTTATAACACTTACTTCAAGCACATTATGCCATGTTAATTTACTAGACGTTTTAAAAGCCGAGTTACGAGGCACAAGAAGGTAAGGATGGTGATACCAAACCCACCTAGTCCTGTGTGTTATCTCCCAGCAGTGGCTGCAGAGGAAGGAGAGGGGTCTATGTGCTGCACTCTCCCAAGCTCCACTTGTCTTTGACAAGTGGTCATTGACAAGCAGGAAATACCTGCTGAGAGGGATGCTTTCTATATATTTATCCTCAGTGCTTCTCTCTTGTACAAGCTTTTCCAGCCAGCCCTTGGACCTCCTTAAGCTTTCAACATTGACAATATGTGTTGTGCTGTTCAGCCCTACTGGGGCCCGCTGGGCAAGGGGCTCCTGTGATCACTAATTGAAGGAGCCAGGTCTGCAGGAGCTGTAAATCAGCACGGAATGATTATCTGCTCAGTGATCATTTGTCTGTCAGCAGTTTCTGCATCTTTGACTCAGGATGTTTTAAGATTCAAGGTAGCATTAGATACTCTCTTATCAAATCCAGTGAGAATTTGGTGATTGATTTCAGCAAATGCTGTAAAGCACTTGAACTACTACTGATGTGATTCCTGTTGTTAAGCAAGTGTTGTTACTCTGCATTTTATATTGTGTTAAATTAGTAAAATAGATCACTTCTGGAAATAAAAGGGCTTCCATAAGAAGATACCAATTTCTAGCTAGATGAGTTAACTTTGCTATCTTTTGTAAGAGTTTTGCCAACAAACAGCTGGTATATTTTCATATGTCAGCATTGCACAGTCAAAGTTTTAAACAGAAAGTGAGCAAAAATACACAGGAAAAGAAAACTGTTTATCAGAAGTGCAGGAGAAACCTTTCCATAGGTAATCTGACACAAAATTCTGGTCAGCTTTCTATCTTTTCATAACCTTCCTTGCCTTTGGCTCTGCATATTATTAAGACTGAAGCATCTAAGGACTTATTTTCAGATTTTTTAAAAGGCAAGACCTATCTGGAGTATATACTGTACTTTGGGGGGAAAAAAGAACTGGTAATTGCATGGTACCAGATACTTTCGTCACCTCTTTGATTAGAGAGAGGTTTAAAAATTAGTGCCTTGAGGCCTTAGCTCATGATTATACAAGAAAACTGGTAGGTTTTGTGTAATTTTTTTCTGTTTTTACTCCCTTCTACTTGGTGGAAGGAGATTAACATAAAACATTTGGCCTTGTTTCCTAAGTCCACCGTATTTTCATTGTTTCTGAAATGATGCCACAATGCAGAAGACAAAGTTGTTAGATTGGTGTCTGCAAGTGGAATCTAAAGTTTTACTTTTCTCTGTGTGAAATGTATGGGCTCAGATTGAAGGCTCAGTAAGAGGCTTGGTGCTTTGCCCTTCTGCCTGTGATTTAAGCCCTGAACAGCTGTCTATTCCTTTCTCTTTTGCTCGTAGTTCGGACCAATGCCGGGATTCTGTTACCTCATATGTCAAAGGAGAAGGGAAGCCAGAAACAAATGGAAGCCTATCCGAGTCCACATCAGAGGCAAAAAGTAAATCCTACATCCAGGAAGCTTTAAATGATGTGGGAAAACACAGTGACAAAGAAGCCCTGAAGACAAAGTCCCAGATCTCAACTGCTACTGATGAGCAAACATTATCATCAACAGCATATCAGAAATCTTTGGAAGAGACCAGCAAGCCAACAACAGAAGGCAGCAAAACATCTGTGCCTGTCAGTGTGAAGAAGATGGGCTGGAGTACTTCTGAGGATGGCAAGCCAAGAACAAGCATCCAAGAGGAGGAGGGAGCAATAATGTCTGAACAGAAGGTACAGTATGTCCTGTAATAATTAACAGTGTGAGGATTCCCTGTTGCTTGACATATTGGTTGACAAATTTTTTTGTGTGACTTGTAATATTGTTCATGACAGGGTTAGGGGTTTTTTCCTTATCCTTCTTTATGTATTTTCAGTTTATTACTGAACTGAGAAAAATGGAATTGAGAAAAATACTGGAAATTTTTATTTGTGTTGTGAATAGAATAGGGTGGAGTCAGGATAGGCAGGGGAGCCAAGAAGGGCTGCCTAATCCCCTCCCTGCCTGGCCCTGAGCCCTGGAAGAGGTTGGAGCAGCTTCTGGGAGCACTGTCCTGCATCACTGGGGAGCAGCCCCTTCCCTGCCCTGCCATACCACCTATGCCAACAGTGCCACACAGCTCAGCTGTCCTCCATCTGTTTGCACTAAGGTGGCTTCCCACTCTTCCTGTGACATCGAAGCAAATGATAGGAGCAAAGAAATATAGGGACCCTTCAGGCTCTGTCTTGCTCTTTTCCCCCAAAACTACCTGCATTTTTTTTTCACTCTGTTAATTTGCAGAAAAAATTATTTTGGGTGATATTTAATCTCCTCCTTATATTTTTTTTTTCATTGCCTTGCTCATCCCAATTTCAGAGTCCATCCAGCCAAGAAAAAATCAAAATATTTCTAAATGTGTAAAGCATTTTTCCAGGTGGTGGTTCTTTCTCCTTAAAATGCTGCCGAGGGGCTCCCCCTCCTTTCTACCTTGCCTGACTCATACACCCTTAACTGCAGAACCCCAGTTATAAGTTGCTTTCTGAAAATGAAGATTTTTATAGCTTTCTCAGTTTCTTCTGTTTATTTACCAGAAGCTTAGAAGGAAAGTTGACTCAAAGAATGGCTTGTCCAGTAGCTGTGTGCACCTCACATCCCAGCAGTGGGAGGATTGCCACAGAATAAACCTCAGGGCCAGCAGGGAACCAGGCTGAAAAGGGGAATTGCAGAGTTTCTTCTACATTCCTCTCTCTCATGAGATTGCCTTTTCTTGCGTATAATGCAGGAGGAGATTTTATCTTTTGAAAGCAAGATATTTCAGTAGAATTGTTTCTACACGATATAGATTTTTTTTATTGTAGCACAATAAAAATGTTGGCTGTGGTGGGCTGCAGTAAATCATTCAGGTTTAAATTAGTTCATTTAAAGCTATTCTTTCAATTACACAACCCAGAATTCTTTTATTAGATGGTAATGTAATCAGTTTCAGCAGTTATGCAGCATATGATTGTTATTATCTTGTTATTAGTTCGTGACACATTAAGATCTTTCCTAATGTTTGCTAATTACTGGAATACTTGAAAAATGTTGAAGCCTTTGCCTTCTTCAAAGGCAGTTAAAGGCAGATGGCAGCGTTCCTCAGTGTCTGGAGGCTTTGGGGCAGACCTCAGTCTGGTGGTGCCATGCTCTGATTAAATGCAGGAGTGGAGATGCACGCTGTAATGTGCTGACATGCTGCACTTCCCCCTCTGCATTCCCAGCAGTGGGAAGAGAAGTTGTCACCCACTTTTGTGTGTTCTTTACTGTTGGATATCCCATCTGGATTGAGAAGAATTAGCAAGTGCTTTTCTTAGGTTTGCTCTCTGCACTGCTTTTAATGATAAAGGCTGATAATCTTATTTACTAAATAATAAGTCTTTTTATAGGCATAATCTTTGAATAAACTGATATCAGAAAATAATGTAATTTCAAAATGTGGGTCTCTCACAAAGTCTGAATGGGTAAGAAACTAGCATCTGTTAGAATGACATGAACTGCTTCTATTATCTTGTTGATATTTCTTCAATAATGCATTCTAATCTAATTTGAATTAGATAAGTTTAATTAGTAATGCAGTCCAGTTCATGGTAAAGCACTTCACGTGCTATCATGAAAACAGAAAGAAAATTTCAACTGCAGTCTTTCTGCAAGGCATTCTTCAGAAGTGTTCCATAAAGAGAAAAGTATGGAAGAAACAGATTTACTTCTGTGGAGGGAAAGTGGGAACAAACTAAAACTACTTGCCAAAGTAAGATATTTTTATCTGTGACCCATTTGGAAAGAGCCAGGAAGCAATAGTCACCCATCTGCAGGAGAAGGGTTGCAGCAGTGTTTTGGCACAGAGTTTGCACCAAGAGATGAAACTCAGACTGGTACTGGTCTGATGCCTGGTGATGTGGATGAAACAAGTCCTTGGCCTCATTCCAAATCCACATAAACATTTGCAAAAGCATTGCAGTAATGGTGTAGGTCATAAAATTCTCTACAAATGCTCAAGCATCAGATTCCAGTGATCTTTTTAAAAGAAGAGCACAGCACAGTTGCTGTGTTGTTCCAAAGAGGATGATGTCCAGCACATGGTCAAGGTGACTCTCAATGTCAGAATTCCATCACAAATAAACCACTTAAAGCTGTTTATTAAAAATAACTCCTCATCTAAGGCTTTCATGGCCTCTGGAAATCTTCTGCTTTCTTGTTAGTTCTTCAGGAGAGGATTGGCTTATAATTTTTTGTATCTATATTTGACTAGTGCCAGAGGACTGCAGATGAATTCTGTCATCCTGCCCTAAATGCTTTTTGTTATATAGTTCTTTTTCTCCTCCACCTACCTATGCCCACTCTTATTTTGCACATAATTTCTGAGAATTGCTTCTTATTTAGGATGTATTGGGCCAGACTGAGAAAGAGAAATAGATATGCAGTTCACAATATCCACAATTTTAAAATCAGTTTGGGGTCGTCATTGAGTAAAACATAGAGAAAATGTTCAAATTTCTCTGTTCAGGAAAGGGCTGAATGTCATGGGAAGAGGGTCTGTGACACACAGAGGTGGGAAGCCTTTTGTCCATCGTGTGCACACAGAGCTGCTCAGCCCCAAAGCTGAGCTCCTTGGGTTTTGGAGGCAAAAACACCAGGGCTGGCAGAGGGTGCCAGGACAGAGTAACACCTGTGTGTAGCTGTGATTCCTGTCAGGCTGAGACCAGCTCTGGGCTGTGCCCACTGAGCTGAGCTCTAACAGCTCCTTTCTTGGAAAAATGCAGAGTGATTGTGCTTCACACTGCAGTTTTGCCACTTATAAAAGCAGATAAATACGGATCAGGAAAGCCATTTACATGGAGAAGTTCTTCAGAAGGCCTTTTTGTAACATTCTGTATGGAAGGTGCTCCACTGAATCCTTCTGCGTGACTGTCTTGGTTTTTTTTATTAGGAAATTATCTTCCCATACCTTGTGAATCCATAAACTTGTTTGAAAGAATAATTTTTAGGATGAAAAAAATCAATGAGCTGTGACACGGTGTAAGGGTTTTTTACATAAAATTTAAAATAATTGCGTAAGGCTTTGAAAGTTCAGATGCATTCCAAAAAGCATTTTCTTAGACTTGAGAGCTGCTGAGATATTCCATAGCTGGTGTAATTATCAGGTTATAGCATGCCAAGGAGCAAAAAGGCCTCCTCCCATTGTGTACTTCAGCAGTGAACCTGCGAGTCATTATGTACATAGCAGAGACAGGGAAAACACTGTCCGTGATAACCTCTGTTTTCTTCTCCTAGTCCTGATCAGCATGTTCTGTCTTGCAAACATGCTGTTCAAATGTACTAAAACTGCATTTATTAGGAATGTAGTGACAGTGACAGTGAGATTGAGAGTGATTCAAGCTCAGGTGAAGAGCAGAGAATTACTACGAGAGTTTACCGACGGCGGTTGATTCTGAAGGTACTTTGTGATTTGCTTTCTGGAGGTGAAGTTGGCATGAAAGTGGATTTGTTCTGCTGTGTCAGAATGTCAGTTTTGGCATACTGGAGCCCCCATGGTAATGTGCTTTTCATGGCCAGTATGGATTTATAACCCAGTGCTAGGTTGCCTTTCCTTGCTTTAACATGGGTTTATGGGTGTCTTCTGTTGGAAAACAATTGTGCTGCATGGAGTGCTGTGTCCTTCACTGCCACAGTTGTGCATGGCATCTTAAAGATTAGAGCTAGATGCAGCATGTTGGTCTCCTGTAGAGCAAATATGAGCCACCAAAAAAGATGGGTAACAATAGTTCCTTTTTTTTTTTCTTTAAAAAATTCTGTGTTACAAGTAAAACATTTGTAGGAATATATGAGTGGGATATAGGAAAGTATGGGGCATGTACTCTGGTTGAAACTTGTGGTCCTAAGTGCTTTATGTGTTCTGGAAAACTTTCTCACTACACCAGATGATCCTGATTTTAAATCTACTGAAGTTAATAAAAGTCCTTGCATTGCCTTCAGTAGACTCTATTTATTTACAGATAGCCTTTACTTACAGCACAATATACTATATATACTGATAACAATGGCATAATCATATAAATAATTGGGTTTGCCCTTATAATATTTTTTTGCGGTCATACAGTATGACATTATTTTCCTGCAGCATAGAGCATGAGAAAATAAACATAACATAAACCCTTATGTAATTCCTCAGTAACTTACAGGATTTATTAGATTCTTATTTGAAAATCATGTAGTCAAGCCCTGAAAAAAAACCAAAACAGCAGGGCACCTTAGTGCTATTACAGCACTAGTGCAGTTTGCCTAAGCTGTAATTGTTACTTTAGGAATAAATTGTGACATTTCAATTGCACATATCTATGTCACTGTTGCTTGCATGCTTTGTTGAGAGGAGTCTGCACACCAGAAAAGGCACTGCACCTTTTATATAATGTGGGTGGCAGGTAGGCTGCTCTGCACAGCTGCAAAGAGCCCAAGGTGCAGATGCTTTTGGAAGAGGAGAGGTGAATTTCTGGCTGCCTCCACCATGAATTCCTTCAGTATACCCGTTGTGCTTCCATTCAGGACAGGACAGGAATGGCAAAACTGAGCTCAGCAGAAATGAATGTTTTGTCCAATCCCCCATCTCCCCGGGCAGAACCTGCTGCCTTCCCTGAAAGGCCCTGGGCCTGTCAGGGTATAACCCTTTCTCAGTAATTCCCCCTGCAGATAAGCCCTGGCTGCTCAGGCTTAGGAATGTGGTTCTGTTTTCAAACAGGGCAGGCCCCTCCAGTGCTGCAGGAGTCTCTGGTAACACACAGAGTGTAAGTGTGCTGCAGATTCAAAGGCTGCACAGTTGGCCTGTGGCTGAGGGCCCCCACCCAATTTATGTCTGAACTATTTTGGTGTCCGCTGGTTTGCAGTCAGGAAGTGATGGAGTAGAAAAGAGGAAAGCGTGTCAAAGGCAGCTTTCTCTTGCTCTCTCTCTCTCTTACAGCCCCTGTGTTTAGAGAAAGGCACAGAAAATTGATTTTAAACGTGGCGGTATAATTTGGGGTAGAACTTTTGACAGAGCCATGGTAAAGCAGCATATTTAGTGTTGGACTCTGCAGCTGGTGCAGACCCAGTGGGAGGGGTGAGCATGGCGAGAGGAGGCGGCTGAACCCGCGCTGGTGGGAACATGTCTCAGCTAGATTAGAGCTGTACCTGTCTCTTGATTAGAAAATACATGTGATTCTTTGGTTATTTTCTGATCATTTATAGCTTCTTTTTTTATCCTCCACTCTGCATCTTAAGACAAGCTCCAAAGAGAACAAAAAAAATTTGAAAGCAACAGTCATCAGGCTTTTTAGAGAAAGAATTTGATAGTGGAAGCGACCATTTTGATCATGTAAAGTTCATGAAATGGTGGTATGAAATGGAAAAATGAAGATTTAACATTGGTAGGGACTTTTTTGCTGCCCATTCCTGAGATCAGAGGTTCACTTTGGGTGAACTGAAATCACTGTGAGAGCATGCACACAAGCTGAGGTACAGCTCCTCCATCAGGGAAGAGCTCCAAGGATGTGGAGGCCTGGAGCAATGCTCGCAGCCTTTGCAGAGGGAAAATAACTCCCTCTGCTGCTGCAGGGCCCTGAGCAGTGACCAGGAGCAGCAGGTGCTCACCTGCCAGTGCCTCAGTGCCTGCAAAGTGAGTGCTTGCCCAGCTCTACAGCCAGCTTATGGTTAGGGGCAGGGAATGAGGGTGTGCTTGGAGCCTCCACTGAGCAGAACCGCATGTGGGAACTGGGGTGCTGTAGCCCTTAATAATGGGAGCACAGAATGGCTTGGGTTGGAAGGGACATTAAAGATTGTCCAGTTCTAACCCCATGCATGGGCAGGGACATCTACCAGCAGACCAGGATGCTCAGAGCCCCATCCAGCCTGACCTTGAACATTCCACAGATGGGTCATTCACAACTTCTCTGGGCAACCTGTGCCAGTGTCTCACCGTCCTCACAGTAAAGATTTTTTTCCTAATATTAATTGTTCTTCCTGGTATTCATTACTGCCTGCATGTTGCATTTAAAGCAATAGAGGTATCACACAGCCTGCAGGCATAAAGTTTGCTGGCACCAAAACCTTGAGGATAAATTGAGTCCTGTGGGAAAAAGGCTTTGCCATGTGCCACCACAGGTACAGTCAGGGTTCAATTGCTTCATCACCTTTGCTCTTCTTTCCCAACTTGTTTTTTCATTCCCAACTTGTTTTTCCTTTACATGCCATTCTGCAATATTGCTAACACTATTACTTCCGTTTAACTGCTACCTTAATTCTCTGCCCTGGCCCAAATATGGGGAAAGACTTTTCTCTCCCACTGAGGTATTTTCCCAGCAGTCCGAGAGCTGAGTCAAGTGCTCAATACTCTGGAGCACATTCCCATGGGATTTAGCACTTCAGAGGGCTGAGGCCATAAAACCAGACAAGCAAGGACTGATGCCCATTTCCACATGTAATAGGATCCTATTCTAACCTCAAGGTAGTGCAGATGTTTTTGTTTTTCTTCCTTTCCCCTCTTGTGTTCACATGGTGGATTGATGGGATGGGGTATTGCAAAAGAAATGGGTTTATGGTAGTGCAGGAATGCGAGCAATTAGCACACAAGGGGAAAATAAGAGTGCTTGCCACAATGTGGACATTCAAAGCCTGATCCAAAGCTCCTGTTATTCAGCCATAGCAGGAATCAGTGTCCAATTTTTCATGCTTTTTCAGAGGTTGTTAAATCTTTCATGGATACAAGTTTTTGGCTAAAGCTGTTTTAATAAGATTCTTGCCAAAAGGTTTATGGTAGAATGTAATGGAAAATAAAATATATTTCTAAGCAGTGGTTATTCAAATCTGACGTAATGTAGTATCTTGTACTTTTGCTATTTCTTGCCAGTTTTTATTGAAGATTTGTCCCTTTCTGTGTATTTTGCCCATGAAATGCCCCATTATTGATTGTGGAGGGTTTGGTGCAGCCTGTACAGGAGAAGTGGCCTGAGCAGCACTTAGTCAAAGCTAGAGCCAGCAGCTTCCATGGTCTTGCTGTTCAGGGGAAGCTTATTTATGGAAAATGAAATTGGCCACCCTATAGGTGATAAGAATTAAGTGCCCGTGCCCTGTGTGAGGAAAATGGGAACCATTTCCTTTAGTGTATTCAGCTGGGCACAGCATCTCCACTGCAGTCTCTGTCTGGCTGGGAGAGCTGCAGGTAAGTGCCCTCTCCCTGTCCTGCCCATCCGAGTTGGAGCTGCTGGCCTCAGTAAGATAACGTGGACTAAATCAAGCCCCAGACTGCAAGTGCTGTTCTGAGGTGTGTCCTCCATGCCACATGCACCAGACCTGTGCCCAGCACCCAGCAGTGGACTATACTCTGTCCCATTTGCAGCACCGTTTGCTCTCAGGTCTCCTTGCCTGGCCTTTTGTTGGGATTTTTCTCCCCCTCCCGTGGCTTCAGCAATACATCTGCAAGCAAGCAACTACAGACTCAGCATGGGCGCAGGCAGAGAGCTGTGGCATCTGATTAACAAGGTCTCCCTGAGTAGGCAGAACTCACTAATGAAAATGACCTTAATGAAAGATGTTTGTTTCTCCTGCTGCTGCCACAGAGGCTGGAGACCCCAAGGAGACTGAGGCGCAGCTGCTGCTCATGCATTACAAGAATGTGATCTCGAGACTGAAGGGATTATGTCCTGGTGCTGGCTTAGGCCACTGAGTGAAGAGGTCTGAGCGCTCCGTGCAGCTTCTGTTCCCATTGTGGCGTTGCCTCTGGTCTTTGGCAAAATTAAATATTTAGGATCTTTCCATCTTGCTTATTTCCTCCTGCTTTTAAATTCCTTTTTATCCCTGTTGGTAAGATGCATCCAGCTGCACCTTTTTTCTCCACTGTTTCAACAACACTAGATGTATGGAAGGAATAAAAGGGACTATTATCCCTCTAGTAACAAAACAAACATGAAAGGAAACCAGAGCTCTGACAAATCTGCAGTGAACTTTGGCACAACACTGCAGCACTGACTGTATAACTCCATTTATCTGAAGGTCCCTGGGAACACCCATAATCTGCAAATAACTGTTAAGAAAATCAGTGGAGCTGGCAGAAGACTTTGAGGAAACTGCTCTTTGCTTCTCCTGCCCTGGAGAGCAGCAGAGGGAGGATACCAGCTGGTTTTGGCAGGACTACACTCCAGTGAGCAGGGTGACATTAAAGCACTCTGCTTTGCAAAGCTTCCTGGCATGTTCTGGAGCTGAGGCTTGCAGACTACAGCCTTTGTATGCTTTAGTCCCAGAGATATAACTGGGCTTCCAGTAATCACGGTATTAGCTTTTCTCCCTGCCTTTCTAAAGCTTTTGGTATTGTGACAGTGATTTTGACTGGTCAAGGGTAAAATGAGGCCCACATAAGTATGATGCAGTGGAAAGAATTTTATTCTCTAGCTCTGACGCAGATGCACCAGCTTTGTGTTTAAAAACAGCTTTTGTTGACAAGGTCATCTAATGTGCCATTCTAACCCAGTGTTGGTTTGAGCTCTTGCAACTAAAACTGCCAGTGGGTAGGGTTTTTTTCCTAGCAAACATCCATCTTTATAACTGCAAAGGATCAGAAAAGTCAGTAAATCAGATCTACCTCCTGCCAGTTGTGAGCCCTCCTGCAATTTGTTTAACTACCCACCAGCAAGAGAATTGTGAAAGCTGGATTTCATGTGCACTGACTGCTGAGTATTTACAGCATTTGTCCTTAAATTGTGCTTAAAGGAGCGTGTAGCTAATTAAAAGCCAAAATTCACCACACCTTTAAAACTGCATTTTCTTCCAGGAGACATCTTTCAGTGCAGCAGTACGCTTTTAATTCTTTTGACACTGGACACAGTGATTCTCACTAGGTTGTTTTAAGGGATAACATTGCTCTTAGCTTCAGTAAGGAGTCAAAGAACCAGTACATATAAATGGTGTTGGTGTGCCAAGTAGTCTGGCAACCTTGCTACTGGCCATGTTGTTTTATTCTGGTTTTCATGGGCTTTATTGTAGTGGCTTTGGAGACCCTGCTTATGAGAGGGAACCTTTCCATACCTCTGTGCTCCATAGGATATCTGTGCCAGGGTTCCCTCCTGCTCCTTGGGGTACTGTGTTGGAGCCCACCGGGGAGTCTCACATGTGGAAGGTCAGGAAAAAAACTGTGCGTGTAGTTCCCCATCTGCTCTGCACCTGATTAAAGTGTGGAGTTTCCAGAATCAGTCTTTCCCGCTCCCATCTCTTTGTGAGTAGGAAACCCCACAGGTTTCAGTTCCCAAAGCCTGGCAGCGGTCCCGTCCCCGTCTCGTGAGGAAGGAAGCGGGCGCTGGGGCCCGCTGGCCGCAGGGCCCAGCCTGGCGCTCCCCTGCTCCTGCACAGAGCTAGGCGGGTATGCCGCTGCTCCTTCTGGGGAATCAACTGCTCCAGCTCCATCTGAAGGCCTCAGTAGCTGTTTGTTCTGCTGTGCTTTGGTAGGGACGCCAGCATTCCCTGGCCCAGGCGCCTCAGCTAGGTGTGTGTCGGGCACAGGACCTCATCCCTGTGTCCCTGTGCAGTGGAATCCATCTGGCTGGGGAGCCTGTTCTTCTCCTGGCAATGCTTCCTGAAGCACCAAAGTTCAGCAAGTTGTACGGTTTGCGAACAGTCTGTGAAAGCCTGGGGAAAAGGATGTGTAAAATGTCTGAGTTCCATTGCTTACTTATCAAGTGGTGACTTCAGTACAGCTTTCAATGAGAAACCAGCAGAAGTTCTGTGCTTGTGAAAAATGACAGACATGGCCAGGGGCTCTGCTCGGCAGTACTCCCTCCTGGCTCCTGCCTGCTGCCATTCTCCTCAGGCAAGGAAAGTGGAAAAGCTTGGCTAGAAAAGAAGACAAATAGCTTGTAAACAAAAGGAAAGTTTTGTTTTGCTTAGAGCTTAGGAGTAGCATACAATCCCAATGTTACATTGTACATCTTAAAAAAGCTGCATTAGTAGGGAATACTGTTTTTAAAAAATCCACATGGCATCACTGTATTTGTTTATTATAAAGCAGTGCCAGGAGCTTATGCAGACAACTATGTAGTGTATAGACCAGAGTAAATAGAATCTGTATTTGTCCTGTGCTGTTCAGTACATCGAAGCATTACAAAAGCTGTAGTAGTCTACTTCCAAATATTGTTTTGTAGTTAATATTATTATAATGTGTTTTATACAATGTTTTCTTTCTGCTTCTTCCTTCTACTTATAATTTTTCTGTAGTAGGTTGAGTGTGAGGGGAGAAGAAAAGTTTTAAGGAATTTTTTTGTTTGTTTGCATTATTAATTTACAAGTGGAAATTTTTCATATGTAGGCCAGCTACATTATTATTATGTTTGCCTTTCTTATATGAAAGATATTATCACAAACAGTGGATATTTTTGAAGCATCAAGACAGTGCTTGCTTCAGCACCCAGGTTTGGAAGTATGACTTTGTGAGGTAAAGTTAGCAGAGTTCTTTTGGAACATAAATTCATGACTGCCAGCTGGGCTCAGACTCTAACCTCATGTCATTTATTTATGATTTAAGCAATAATTCCTTTAAGTGGAATTAAGTCCCTGGCATAGCAGCTAGGAAACTGCTTTTACATTTATTTACACTGGTGCTATAAATTGCTGGTCCTACAAGAAGTGATGGCTGGAGTGCTGCTGATCTCAGTGAGTCATGGACCAGGCTGCTGAGGCTCTCGCCACGGTGGCACCATGCCGGGCAAAGTGTCACGTAAGATAACTTCCTTCCTTTGTAAGTGCTGAGAAGTCCTGTCTGTCTTCTGTGTTTGTGTTTAAGACCTCGTGTTTAGCAAGCTAGAGGCAGATCTGTCTTTTTAAGTCCCAAATTTCTCCCATGTTAGACCATGGTTCTGTGTGTGCCAAAGCAGAAGCACTGCTGAGTTTCACTGAGGGGCTGTGAAAAGCTATGGGGTGTCTCAGAGGGCTCAGACTGACCGCTCGATTTTGTTGCCCAGAGAGTTCCTGACATGCATTTGGTAATAAGAGCAGTGTGCTAGAAGCTCCCTACAGGCTTTAAGGAAACATTTTGTAAGATAAATGCACAGGTATCAGCATTGCTAAATGAACGAGGCTTTCATACGGTTCGTGTGCCATAAAGCAAACTCTTAATAAAGTTGAAGCTAGCATGTGCTTGTTGCTTGGATTGGTGTGGAAATATGTGTGGGTTTGACAGAATATAGGCTCTATTGCTAATCTTATAACACATTCTTTAGGGTGAGGAAGCAAAAAACATTCCTGGTGAATCTGTAACAGAGGAACAGTTTACCGATGAAGAAGGCAACGTCATCACGAGAAAAGTAATCACGAATTACATCACTGTTCTGAGTCTTTGCATTCAAGTAACTTATTTTAACATACTTTTTCCCTTTAGAATCTAGGAAAAAAAAAAATCGATACCTTTCATGTATTGCTTCCCACAGATCACCCGGAAGGTAGTAAGACGTGTTGTTATCCCCCACAAGAGGAAAGTTGGTGAAATGGTAATGCAACGGGGACTACCAGGAAATAACAGTAGGCGCAGAGGGTTGTGTTGACTACTAGAAAGTGCTGCTAAAGGGCTGGAGGTTTGCATTTAACAAGAAGCCTTGGCAAAAAATGCAGTGCTTGCAGTTATTGGCAGGTTGTGCGTTGGGATCAGGGGACAGGGGCGGCATCAAGGGGGCCTGGCTGATTCTGTCAGCACAGGACATCAAGGTCTGTTTCTGTAAAACAGGCAGCAAGTCTCTAAGCCGTGGGTTTGGGGCCTGCTTTGTGCCATCAAGTTGAGCAGCGTCTGTGTATTTGGTTAAGCCCTTGCAGAATCTGTGCCTTACAGCTGTAGGTGGATTTTGTGGCTTTTCCACCAGCCCAAAGGAGTGAACTGCAGTCTGATCCCAGTGGCCTCTCACTCACCTTGGTGTGACACCCCTGGTGCTGGTGACTGAGGGTTTGCAGGATTCAGGTCAATGAGAACATACCCAAGTAATGGTATCCTTTACAAGCAAGCACCAAGACAGGATTTTGTCCCTGGTGATCAAAACTGGAAGCCTTCTTCAGGCCTGGACTATGCCCAGCTTTATCACTCTGACAGTGGGAAGAGTAGGACTATTGTGTGCCAGCACACCCCAGCCCTTCTTGGGAAAGGCTTCAGTGACAGGGGCAGGAGTGGGCAGCTGTGCCTCAGCTGTCATCTGTCCCAGGGAGGCCTCGGGGGAATGGGCATCGCCTCTGTAAACAAATAGCTCCAGAGGAGACCTGCCTTCTTCCCCAGCACATGGCCCTCAGACATCTCTGCTCAGTAAAACTGTCACTGGGGCTAATGAAATTCTTGTCTGAGTGAAAACAGATTCACAAAGGAAGATAACAAATACCCTTTATTTTCTGACAATAAAAAAAGGAAAAAAGCTGGGGACGCATAAGTCACAGAAGTAAGAGAATGAAAACAAACTTATTTCCATTCCCTCTTTCCTTGTTGTTTGTGAAGGGAAAAAAAACCTGCCCAGCAAGGGGTAAACATTTTCAATTTGCTGCACCAGATTAGATTAGTTGGAAACTACAAATAGTTACAAATACATCAATGCAGATCACCTGAGGGGTAAATTCTGCCCATAGCCACACATAAACAGATGCCTTTCTCTGATGTGAGTGAGGCTTGTGATTACTGGAGAATTTATTTTTAGATGATTATTGAGCTACTTTTAATGAGCAAAGATGAACTTTATTTTGGGGTTTGCTGTTTTAAAGACACTGAAACCTGCACTGCTTGTCACTGTCATTGGTTTTACTTCTGTGCTGCTTCAGTGGTGATTTTTGCTGGCTTTCTTCCTCTTCCCTCTACTCCATTACTAACCTGCTCACTTTAAAGCACAGACGTTGTGAAACATCATAAGAGCAGCCACAGCCTCTGCTGTTGGGAATGCCCACCAATTCAGCTGACCCAGGAGGACAGCTGGGAGAGGGGATTTTTCCCTGTCAGTGGCACTGGCTCCCACTGCAGCTGGCACCAGGGGCTCTGCCGAGGACTGACTGCCAGCCGGGCACTCCAACCCCAGGGTCAGGCTGAAATTGTAGAGCTGTGTTTTCTACTTGAAGATGATATTTCAGACCTGTGCTTTTGCAGCTCAGCAGAGTGGATAAATAGGTTGTGTGTATATTTGAAATTAAGTGTTAGTGTGATTTAACTGCTTTTTACTTATCCTGTTACAGCAAAATGTGTATCCTGTTTTGGAAGCTGGTTTACAATTATGAGTGCTCTCTGCAGACTGTGTTAATGTTTATACTTTTCCTTTAAATCAGGGAGAAGCTTATAAGGTTAAGACAAAGAAAGAAGTCAGACACGTGGAGAAGAAAAGTTACTCATGAAAGCTGAAAGCCAACCACTGAACGGTCAGTGATCAATTTTCTTCCCTTGTTGAAGGCTTTTGCCAGCATGGGGAACAGCACCTGGGCTGCACAAAGGCTTGCCTCTGCTACCCTGACTTTGCTTTCCAGCTGCAGACCTGAATAGCTGGTCCTTGATCTTGTAAGCAGAAGATGACCTTGTGTTCACGTATAGAAATTAATCTTTACTTCTTGTAAAATCAAAACAATATTCAGGCATGTGCAAAATTTCTGGGAATTTTACAGTGTCCAGTGTTTATAATCCACAGAACTTTATACCCCTAAAAGCTTAAATAGTAAAGGAGCTGCACACAAATAAACCTAGGAGCGAAATGCTTCTTGCACTGTCAGACATGTGATTTGAGGGCAGTTATGCAAGTCAAAGTCCTTGTAAGTGAAGTGTCTCAATATTTGCCAACAAATAATCCCTACCAACTGTTTCTTGTTGAATTTTATTGATCCAGCCTTAACGACTGTAGCAAGCCAGCAGCTGATGGTATAAGGGCTTCTTCCCAAGCTAAACCCAGATGCACAAATCACCCTTGCAGGGGACTCTGTAAAGATGTGAAGAGAAGAAGCCAGAGGCTGCTTTGTCTCATTGACACAGCTACACACAGAGATGTGCCTGTGTGTCTTTCAATGCTGGCCCGTCTGTCATGGCTCCAAGTGTGTAGGTTTACCATGGACATGTCTTTTTTCTGCTCTTCTCTCTTAGCTTTGTTGGGTTTCAGGAATTGGACAGAGGAAGCATTTATGAAGTGCAAGACTGTGTATTATCATTTTACTGTACATATGGTATGGGATTGACTATAAGATTTAAGAACAGAATAAACAGGACCTGGTAAATAGACCAGATAGTGAGGAAAAGGAGAGACAGAAACAGAGTCTCTCTTGAGTCACCAGTCCCTTCTATCTGATGCAATGTAAGGTAGCCCTTACAGCCCCCTGGCCTTACAGGTGCTCTGTGTGTGTGGGTAGAGCCATTTAGACAAACAGCACTCAGTGTGTGGGATCTAGCTGAGGGATTTATGGGATCAAGCCCCAAGGAGCAAGCTGTGTGAGGTGACTGGTGTGATTTCAGTGTCTGGTTAGCACCTACTGCATCCACCTGAATTCCTGCTTTTACTGAGAGTCCTCCTGTGTGTGCCAATAGAATAATACAGCTTCATGTAGTCTTGGTGGTCAACACACTCATAAAATATTTATTGTTTGGAAAAGGGAGGTGATTCATTTGACACAGCTTTCTCCTTTATGGAGCTCAAGGATATGGGAGTAAAGCAAGCCAAAGCGATGGCACTGTTTGTATGAAATTGTGTCCCATGTTGGGTCCTGTGCTGCTTCCACTGTCAATCTGCCAGGGCAAAGCAGTAGAAATGTGTAAATTCAGGCATTGAAGGCAAGATGGGGCATTGAACCCCATAACCAATGCAGTTAAAGAGCCTGCCAGCATATGAGTTTGATGCAAAAGACACCAGGGATAAGCATTTCATTTTAAAATAAAATTACATAAATTAGGCAGTCTTTGCCTAATGTATGAAACAGTCTGACCTTCAGGAAGCCAGAGTTCCTCAGAATCAGATCTGCTCCCATGACGGCTGATGCATTTCTCCTGTGATTTCCAGTAGGCAAGTCTTCCATGCTAGAGCCCCTGTGGAACTCGGAGAGCCTGCCTTAGATAATGAACCTTTGCTCTGGGGAAAACTTTGTCCTGCAAGATGAATCTCTGTGCTCCAAACTTTCATATGATAAGCATGACCAAATATGCACTACGTAATTGTGAGTCTGGTCAAGAGCCCATTAAAAACATTTCATTTTGTTGCAGAAGGGGATGTATTTGCCCAGGCAGGGAATTCTGTAGAAAAACTGTTTATTTTGTAATCATAAAAGACCAAAAAAAAAAATCCTGTTGGGCAGGCAGAGGTGGTTCTTTTTTTTTTTGGAGCGTTGGAAAAAAAATCACTATATTAGCTCGGTTTTGCTGTGAAGATGTCCCTGTCACCATTGCAGATAAGCCCAGTGTGAAGCATAGGTTGAAAGGAGAAGCCAAGAACTGCGTGCAGTTCCGCAGGACAGCACGGTGTGAGCTGGCGTGACTGCTGCAGTGGGAACAGGCGGCTCTCAGCAGCAGGACAGATTTATGACAACTGTAGATGTGGGCAAGGGCAGATTGCTTTAGCGTGGAAGGAGACTGCAAGCACTCCTGGGGAATGTGTGTGGATGAACCTGTGACCTGATTAGTGAGCAGGCATGTCCGTGCCAGCCTGAGCCCTGCCGGCGCCGCGCCAGCCCCGCTCCCGAGCAGGCTGCCCTGCGCCCAGGTGCCGGGGAGCCACAGCTTCCAGCTCCTGCTCGCTGCTGTGTTTGCATTTCTGCTTCCTGCCCTCTCTGCTCTGTTCTACGACAAATGTCACAAACTTGCTGTCCTTACGTGCATGGCTCTGGTTTGAGGGCTGAGACAGCAGGAGCTGGATCGTCTCTCCTCGGTGCCACTCATGCAAGCCAAGCTGGAGGAAGATGGATGGCCGCTCCTTGTCGGTGCTTTTGTCCTTCACCAAGCCTCCTAGAGGCTGGGCGCTGCATTCCTGGCTCTGCAGGAATGTTCCCTGAGCAACTGGCAGAGGTGGATGTGCAAGGAGAGCAGGTTTTCCATCACTGTGGGGATGCTTGCGCACAATGAAGAAAAACGTGCTGTGGAAGCAGCAGCTCTCTCCGTCTGGAGATGATGCTGTTCCTTCCACAACAAAAGACCCGATTCCTTGTCATCATTGGATCAGATGAGCTGGTGGCATGTCTGGGGTGATGAAATGCAGAGTGCTGCAAACATATTTGTAAATCAGTTCACGAGCAGTTTGGACATCTGCAGCTGCTTTTTGGCTCAGCTAATGTCATTGCCTACCTAGAAACTGTGTGATTTAGCCTATTGCAGAATCCATCATGCCAGTTACTTTTCTGTTTAGTCAGGGAAAGGCAGGAAACTGATTCTAACAAGATATTTCTGAAATTATTTGTTCTTTGTTTTCTCTCCACAGTGTGCTTTTACTGCCAGTATTCTAGAGGGACACTCCTGGAAGAAAAATCAACAGGAATTAAACATTCACCTATAAAAGTGTGCGT